AATGATAAATCGGTGTCAGAATGATTGAATTTTGAAATCGTTGACCAGAAATAAATCTTACCAACTAAAAAACTGTCGATGTATTGTTTACAGTATTATAAAATATTCAAATATTAATCCTTGCAAAGAAATGTCATTAAATCATTCGCCGAATATTTCCTTCAGATGAAATTTGTATAAATATCCGAAAAATGACATGCAATATTGTTGGGAAATATTTTAAAACGTGAACAAAGTTTTAAAATTTGTAATTCCAGTCCATTCACCGATGAAAACTAAATGATTGTTTATATAAAGACGTGATCAAACTTCAGATTCACTTGAAGCTTAAGCCATTAAGTTTGATGTTTCACACGTATAGTAGATGTCAGTTTTGTTTATTAATCAATTTGAAGTTGAGGAAAATTTTTAAATTAAATAATTCCATTATCTCTTCTAGTTATGATGTATTGAATACTTTCATATTTCATTTTTCGATTGCTTTCAATATTTCTCCAATTTCATTCACATTGTTATCATTGTGTAACACTGAACATTTCTCTTTTTCCTTACTGGCCATTACAATGAGATGCATTTTTTGAATAAACTTGCATACACAAACGTCATACTGTGGTGAAAGCAAATTTAATTGCAATAACTGTTTTATTAATTTAGCAGAAGTTTTAATTTGCAAATATGATAGGATTGATTTTGGATTAAGTTTTAATTTTCAAATATGATAGAATCGATTTTGAATTAAGTTTTAATTTTCAAATATGATAGAATTAATTTTAAATTATTTGATTTGAAACTTTATTCTATATACATTTGAACAAAGGAGCATTATCTTTAACGGATTTTATAATTTATAAGGATTAACTCATATTATGCTTGATTCAAATAGCGACATTTCCAAAAATTTTCTAAATACTTATTTATCTCCAAAAATTATTCATTAAAATGCTGTTAATTGATAAATTTCTAGTATAGAAAGTTAACATTTCATAAAAATTCTCCAGATTTTCAAGTGATCTTCTAGTAAGAGGAAATATGTAATTTAATGAAATTAAAAAAGGAGTGGAAGAGTGAAATCCATCAAGAATGAAAGCTAGCCAATATGGCGAAGATCATGATGGGATAAAACTTTGCTTGGTAATACGGATAAATTTAATGATCTAAAATTAATTGAAAATCATTAATTTTATTTATTTATTTCTTTTTTTTTCCTCCAACTTTCTAAGATATATTTTAAAAAGAAATAGTTGTTCAATTTGATTTAATAAATGCATTTTATGTTTAACAGATTTATAGCTCAGCATCAATTTATATTCATACAATCGTTAATTAAATATTCCAAAAAAAAAAAACAATTTCCATAGTATCGACTAAATTCATGTTTATGAATTGTTAATACAGTTATGGAATGAATATCCCATCGTAATATCTTCAAATTCCCGTTGATCCATTCTCGATTATCAGGAATTTCATCTTTTTCTCCAGTATATCAACAATCCCTAAAATATTTCTCCAACTACTACCATTTATCAAATATGCTTCTCTTCCTCCACCAATTATATTTTCTAACTTATCCGGTGAATCATGTATTCCCGTAAGCTGGATAACATTTAAATATTCATCCATTTGTATTTCCTATTCTTCCATTTTTCATTGATTCAATTATATTTTGATTTCATCATATTTTAGATGAAATAAAGAAATATTCGAGCATTTGTCAATTCCCTATTCTATGCTCAAATCTAAGCTGAACCTTAAGAGAAATTATTCTTTTTTTTTTTATTGTATTATACACATATTTGCTTAACTTAAAATTTATAATTACTCCGAAATAATTTTGACAGTTGTCAATTCACAACTGATCGATACTATGTATTATTAGTAATTATTGATATTGAAAAAAAAATTTTCAACATGATTAGGATAAGACGGATTAATTTATAAGATAATTCCAAGCCTTGGCTTAAATATGAGTTAATTAATTTCATCTGCAAATTATTCAACTATCCATTGCTAATTTTAATTTAAATTTACTTTTAATATACCTAAAAATAGCAATTTCACCGCTACTCCTAATATCTTTTTATGGATAACAATTTTCTTCTCCAATTTCAAATAATATTGAAACATCAATTATCCTGAACGGGAAAAAAAAATTTTTCAATAATTTGTCCATCGCTTTTTCCTGCCAACATGTGAGGATGACATCATTGGATAGGCAGAAGTTTAATTTTTTTTTTTCGTTTTACTATTTCATCAGATTTCTTGAAGTCATTTCTAGGTGAATGCATGACATTTTACGTGACAATTCAGTCATTTGTTATTTCATCATTAAATGATCATTTACTATTCATCAGATTT